CTCAATTGCTCACGACATTGGTTTTCCCGTACGACACTGACAATCTAGTCTAGCGTACGGAGGAGACCTCAGTTGGAGCATTGCAACCGCACTGACATCGGTTGCTTAGCCTTACGTCGCCCTTCCAAGGAATTTCAGGAAGGCGCCNTGTAACAGAGTGTATGCAGCTCTAGTTTTACTATGATTGATGTAATTTCCAGCATTTTATGGATAGGATAAGTTTAAATCGAGGCATCCAAAGTGAATAGCAATGCATTGAAAATACCTTTCTAATATAGCATAAAAAGATCTTTGGGAGTATTGCCACTGTATAACAATTAATGACAAATAAACTGATTCCTATAAAATATCATAGGAATATCAAAAGAATCTAGGATCATCTAAAAAAATTATCTGAAACAAGTTTTGAGATGGTTACATGTGATTCATGTGAATAATCCTAGGTTACATGTGTTGTTGTGCAACTATATAAAGGCATTAATCAAGCCAAGTTTACAGAGAACCTATCTATGAGCTCAAAGCTTCAGCAGAAATTCTGTTAAGCATACCTCATAAGAACCAATCGCCAAGATTTGAGCGCGGTCAGGGTGGAAAGTGCATGACTGGAACTGATTGCCACTGGAACGCAATTCATGTAAACACTTTCTTCCGCTAACACACCATATCCGTGCACTATCCTCGCTCACGGATGCCAGAAAATTCCCGCTCATATCCCAACACATTGAACGGACATCTCCGACATATCCCTGTATATCAGAGAAAAAGAGACCGCATTGATAGGATACAGTAATGCTGCAAATAAGAAATTTAAGACAAGCTTGATTTGGAATAAAAACATCTTACTTGTAACTGTAGTTGGACGTTGTTAGTCTCCACATCAAATATATTTATAATATTTCCTGTAGAACATGCCAAAAGGTTCCCAAATCGTGGTTGGAATCTAACCTGTCTACTACCTCCCTGCGTTTGTACCAAGAGCAAATCAATACTATCTTTTGTGAATTGAGTAAATCTAACTCTCTAGAAAGTCACTTTAGCACTGTACTTCCCCTTGCTGAATGTGATACCTATCTCCGTCAAATAATATTATGAAACTCAACCCATTTATATCCTAAATGGCCTATTTGAATGTGTA